ACGTGGTCGTAGGCTCGAATGTCTGCTTACATATGCCGAAGTCCATTGATTGGCATCGTTTAAGAAATACACACCAGTTCAAACAGAAGCGATTGGCTCTCGTGTTCTGCGGCTGCATTCTTGAAATCGTCTTTTCGTTTTTATTCGTGAAATAGGTAGACTAGCCATGTAATTTTATCCAGTGCGTTTGCCGAGCATAATATCTCCTTGCCACTATTTCCCAATGGTTGTATAGTAATATATTTTTTGATAAGGTGGACAGCAAGTTCTTATTGCCTACATTAGGGATATAAAATGGGCGGACAAAATAATGATGGGGGCCAGGTTTTATTGATACTTTGTTGCGTTCGAATACACTTTCTACTTAAATAATGTCGCTATCTGGCAATAAATGCGTCTCTAATGACAAGGTACTGCTCTCCTCAGGATACTTAGATGGTCGCAATGTCAGAGGGGTATTTAGTTGGAGCGACAAAGTATTTAGCGACCATGAATCGCCATTAACAGTCTCGGTTGACGCCCTTAGAATATTCGTTTGTATAAATAGCACAAACGCATGTGTAAAATGTTGCAACATTATTAGACGTTTTGAAAAAAACATACACATGCATAATTAAACCGAGAATTTTTTTAAATCTCAACAAATTCTCTGGCGGAAAGTTTGCGACAGACATATTCATGTCCGACCCAGCGACTAATACGTTTATCACTATTTTGCCGGCCTATTTCGGGTGATAGTTACAGAACATTCACCGACCACTAGCGGCTATTTGTCTTAGGCAGAGCGTCAGCAGGTGTCAATATCTTCCTACGCAAATCGGCGCGAAAATGTACTCGTATTTAAATGGCTAGAGCGCAAGATGGGTGCGATTTCTAGCTTTTGCGGGTGGGTAGTACTGGCTGATGACGCCTATTAAGCCAGAAATGTAATGAAAGTCTCCGTTGCCTTTGTGGCAATACTATCTTCCTAAGACTACTAGCCGCTAAGATTGCTGCAAAGAAGGATAAATAAGTTCCGTCAGCGATCGATGAACGTTCATTAACTTTTACCATTCCAGCAATGAGGTGATTTCTTGATGCTTGATAAGACGCAAGAACTGCAATGCTTTGCAAACCCTTCACTTTTATATTTACAAAGACGGCCTCGGTTAGGTTTGCCAGCTTTTATCTGTTCTCTGCTACAAGGCATTCTTGCCTTTGTTTATACCAAACTGCCTTTCCTTTCCTCGCATTTTTAAAATAGGAAACATCTGGGTAATGCATATTTGCGCAGATTTTCGGTTTCAGTTTTGTAGAATTCTGTCAACGCGACGACAACTACAAGACACCGGAAAAGACAACGTCTTATTTACAAAAATGTGAGCAAATTAAGTGTGTAAGTATGCATAGAGGAGCTTCCTTTTTATGGGAGGACGTATGGATGAATCCGTTCAGAGCTTTCCTTGCCGACTGCTACTGAGCACCACAATGTCTTAGGGTTGTTAGAATACAAATGTATTAGCCTTGAATCTGCCAAAACTCGCCACCTGGCCTACTGACTGACAATTTGGGAAATCCGAAATCATTGGTGTCATCGGCTTGACGAATCTTTGCTTAGCTTTTACTTTCTGAGAAAAAATAATATGCAGTTGGTATGAGCTACTAATTGCACAGGCCTTGTACGGTCGCACTTGTCATACCTGTCTCCTAATGCCTTATCGATGACTGTCAACACAGAGTCGACTACTTCGACATTTTCCACCCTTGATTTGCATACATCTGTTTTGTCCATTGGTTGAAGTGGCATCTTCATCGTTCTCATGAGGGTATCGGCGTATCAGACAAAGTTTTTTGACGGTAGGCTTCTGTGACTGTATGCGTTGTGTTTGCATCAGATGCACTGCATGATATTTTCCGTTTATTTGGCAAGACCGCTTAAGCAGATGAAACCATAAAGTGAGTTAAAAGATTAGCACTTGAACGTGCTTGGCCGGCATTTGATTTGGATGCCGCATCTCTAACGGCTTAAAGTCCTATATTTCTTCTTTTCTCGGTGTACAAAGCGTGGAGCGAACGATTACAATCAGGTTTTGGGTCTCCTTGTTCTCCTTTTCCACCTATGGGAATATTTTGAAGAAATATCAACATCCATTTCAGCCTGTTTCCTCGAGTGTTATACCATCTGTGGGTTGTAATCCTTGCATCTACTAAGCTGGCGCTGATCAGGCGAAGTAGAAGGAAGTGTCAATTTGATGAACACCCAGCAGATTAACTTTTGTGTAAATGTCTTAATGGGTTTAATAAGTAGGTGTACAGTATGCGCTTAAAACCGTGCAACTTTCGTCACTTTGTAAAAGTTTGATCAAAACTCGCATAGCGGTGTGAATGTATTTACGAAAACCTGGAAAAAATAATGAGCAGCATTAGCTTTATTTAAAACTCAAAAGAAGTATAAGAAGTGCTCAGTTTTTTAAGAAAAATAAACTTTTCGATAATCCCCAATTTCCGGAGACGCAAAGAATAGCTATAAATTAGTGCAATACAATTATATATTTTGCTAATTCAAAAGAACAAGATTATTATTCATCTGACGTTTCGGATTCCGTCGGAAATTCTTAATCATAGATGATGATAGCAAAGTCATGGTCATGCGCAGATAGGGTTGAGACATGCACAGGTTGTACGGTATTTATAGTTCGTGGTAATCCGCGTGTGTGTGAAATTTTTTCACTTCTGTAGCCCCTGCTTTGGTCTTTATTGATGTGGTACTGGCTTGATACTTCGCGTTCGAAACAGTAATTACCACAATTGCCTTGTCAGCGTCGGATGCGGACCTGATAATTGTGTAACAACGTCAGGCAGTGTTCCTTCGATCGCATCCTCTTCTTCTGAACTGCTTCCTGGAACTCGCATATTCTCTACCATTCTGCTAATCCGAAACATTTGCGTTACTAGTTAATTTATATAATAAACGTTTTCCTTAGCCAACATTTTTGCAAAGATTATACTAAATGCACAGCCTTTTATGTAATATCGTCCTTGAAAATTTTGAATCATCACCTGCGTTTAAATGTCTCCAGTTGTTCATCCATCAATCGATCTTCTGTTAAACGTTTTCATTTAAACTTTCAAAATAAGATAAACATGAAGAGCATTTACCGAATTTTTTTTATTACCTCTTACGTGGACCATATTTAGAAAGGCCTAAAACAGCAAACTACATTGTCAAGCATACATAAAGTCCGCAAAAAAACTCGGATTTTGTTTTTCCTAGGATAAATAAAAATGTTCTATAATAGGTTACCTGTTTAAAAGTGCTTTGATTGGATAGTCAGCCGACGAATTGCTTATCAAATTTTCCAACCTAATATTACAGTGAGATTGGTGACTTTTGAGATTTTTTTATAATGTTCCTGAAGATAAACGTTTCAATTTGACTGCAGGTCGAAGTAATTATTGTTTTTTATCTTATAAATAGTTTTTCCTATAAGTGACATAATTCCACGATCTGCTATAAGCTTGCGAATGCAAAAAAGATTAGTCATATATATGGCCATTTTTTGAAATAAACATTATTCTTCGTTTCGGAATCAGTATCAGTGTCATTTTATTGAGGGAAAGGCGGGTAGATTGCCTTTGAGTTCCCCATTTGTACATATTCATCGTGGTAGCATCACATTGTACCTCAGATTGTTGGCAAGCCTAATTGTCCTCAGCCATTAGGTTGTACATAGTTGTCCTAAAAAAGTTAGCAAACAGTGGAAAAATTCCTAAGGAATTTTTTATGGAGAAAAACTGTCGCTGTTTTTGGAGATTTTAAGGGTTTAGGAGAAAAAAACGTCGGCTCTTGAGTAGTGGGTCCAGCAGGGATATTGCGAAGGTCACCAGTATCATCACCGGGAGTGGAAGATGTGTCGTGATACTTCCTTGCTAATTACAGAGTGCACCGACAAGGTTGGAAAATCGGAAGATCCGCCAAGATCGTCAACAGTTTACTGCCGTTGGAACCAAGGGTGTGTATTAAGGCCGGCAGGTTTGGTTGGTGTGATCGCTGACGGGGTCATCGCTATCAGAAGATATCCCAAAAAGGGAAGACCGCTAGTAGGACAGCGTTGGCCTAGGGTTTCTGGTCTAAAATAGCATAAATAAATGTTGCTGAAGTGAACCCAGCTGTATTAGTAGTAGTTGCGATGCGTTGCTAGTAGCCGTGCTACTGAAGCGAAACCCTCTCTGAAACATTATGATATAAAACAAATAGTAGTAAGAAATTGAAAATAGTATTATATTTAGAAATTGTCAGCAACGGTCAGATCTTATTATAGTGCGCTTTGGTATATCCACCCAACTTCTGCTTAAATACCTCGAGGGATTCCGAAATAACGACATCCGAAAGAAGCGCATTGCAAGCTCCGACCACCCTTTTGGACACGTGCTTCCGAGTCTCCAGCCAGGGACCAGTCACTCGTCAGTTGAGAAGATGACCTCTCAAATTCGTTGCTTTTGCTAACTCGAAGAAATCTCCCAATAAAAGTCAGCAATCCCAAACACGAAATATGCAGAATGTTAGTATCAGG